TCCTGCTGGGCAAGTCTGGTACCAATTTGCCGACTGTTGGGAAGGCTCGTTGATATGGGAATACCAAGAAGTTAAGAAGATTCGGTCCGAATTAGCTGCTCGCCTTTGCCTGTGCCACGTGGTTTTTTTGTGGCTTAGCAACCACAATGCTAGACACCTCAAACGTAGGCAATTAAACCGTTTATCATAATTATACAACAATTATGATATGACAACACAACTGCACAATTAATACAACAATGATACAAGTAATGAATAGGCGCGGCCTGATCACTGATGTTCATGTTGCTTATGAGTGAAGACGTTGTCATATGACTTCTAGTACATGAGATGGATGTGAGGAAAGGACATGGTGACTTGGGTAGCATTGCTGTAAACTGAGCGAGCTAACTGAAGGGTAGTTTACATACTTTTTTTGCTAGGCGGAATCAGGCTTCAGTAGGCGGAGAGACAGTTTGCCACTAAGGGGTGTTGGAAACATTTCTCAAGCATTGCAATCTGATAAGGCGATAGTCAAAACATAGGACTGTAACTGCAGATATTTTTCATGAGATAACCGCCTATGAAATGTTAGTCATGAGGTTATCAGATCGTTGTTGGAATAAGGTCACCGGAAACAGTATTTGATTTGAAATGTTTTACATAGAGAACATTCCAATGTTCGTGATGAATGATCTCTATATTCCCCCATCGCAAAAGCACAGGAAGTGAATGAGCGACAAACAGTCAAACTGTTTGTTTAGCCATTGGTGACAAGCCGGGTACTTTGTGGAGCAGTGTTTGCATCATGCTGGCTTCTCCTGTAGGGTGGTGACGACTCGTTTGAGTTGTACTGCTTGTAGTTGGCTTGGTGCTATCGGTTGACGTTTGTGTTGCTGTGTGGAAAAATACTTTGATTGGTGTTTATGGGCTGGCGTCCTTCTGTGGTGCTCGTGGAGTTAGAGTCACCCTATCCATTTTGTTTAATATCTGGAATCGTTTATTAATATCAAGGTGCAGTATTGCGTGTTGACATACTAGGTCGTATTGATGTTGATGCTGGTTGCCTGTTGGAGTATTATGTGGAGGAAATACGGTAGTGAATAGTAGAGTAAAATAGTAGAGCACGCTGAATAGAAATTTAGAACTGCTATATGGCGAAACCACGGATCTCCCTTATATGAGGCATTCCGAACTGGCTAGTCGCGAGGCTACGTGGGGCGTTCCCAAGTGGTGGATAGGGGGATGATCGCGAACCAAAAGCTACCTTCGCTTAACTGAGATGCAGGTGGATCCAGGGGAAGGACTTCTTGTTTCTGCTGCGCTGATTTGGCACAGACTTTCTGTATTTGCTAGGCGTATTCATGCATGCGTGTGTGAGTGCGTTCTTGCTTATGCGGATTGTATTCTACGAGTCAATTCTGCTACCAGCCTGTAATCAACTAACTAGGAAGTATATGGCAGGTGGTTAAGAGTCGGCACCAACAAATAAGCTCCATGTCCACTCTACTAGAACCTGGCAAGCTACCTGTGAGTATACCCAAGCCCCACGTTCAGAGCCCAGCAAGGTATACGTGGGTATCAAAATGCTAAAAACAGTGAAAAAAAACGGACCTCATTTCCCTGACCCCGAAGAAGCCCCAATTTCGCAGCGGTGGGTAGGACGAGTACGTAGATGTTGCTAAAATTTCACGGCCATTGGAAGCTGCCTGGATTTCAAAGAACTATGGTGGCGATCTGTAATTACAATGCACATACACTTGCATCCGAGTCCTCGATAGAAGACTTGCTCATGCAAGCAAGAAGAACAAGGTACGACGTCATCGGCCAGTCCGCGACGAGACGACGCCGTCTAAGACAGCGGAGAAGAACTGTTCATCGGAACATGCGACAGTAGAGGAGTCAGCGGCGTCGGCATTCTCGTTAACACGAGTTTGTCCATGAACATCGATTCATTCTAACAACTTACAACCCGAATCGAACGTTTACGATTAAAAAGATGTGGAACAATGTCGACTTTGACAATCTTCGTCGTTTACGCGCCGACATGAAACTATGACGAAGAAGAAGTCGAACCGTTCTATATTGACTTAGAGATGTTCTACAGAGAAGACCACACATTCCTCAAGGTTATCGTTGGAGATTTCAACGTCAAGATTGGACCAAGAAGAGCGTCTGAAGAACCTCAGATTGGCACCCATGGATTAGAATGGAACGAACAGGGTGAGCGGCTTTCTGAGTTTATCATGGCGAACAATAAAATCCATGGTAACTCGCAATTCCAGAAGCCCCACCCTCAAGGCTGAAAGTGGGAGTCTCCCAATGGTGAGTACCATAACGAAATTGACCACATCATAGTAAATAGTAAATAGAAGGTTTTGCCTAACCGATGTCGCTGTTGCCCCAAAATTCTACACGGGATCAGACCATCGTCTCCTTCGTGCAAGATTCTATTTCTCGCGGAAAGGAGAAAAGCCGCTAAATTCCAAAATCGAAATCCAGAACCACCGCAAAATGGGACTTATTGAACTTATTCGTCGGCTGTTTGGTTTATTGTTTATAACGTCGACGAAGAATTCGACCAGCTTGCTCAACATCTCCAGGCTAGCGATTTGAAAGCTGAGAGTTCAAAAGTCACCAAGAGACGTCTGTCTCCGGAAATACTCGAGCTCATGAGCCAGCATAGAGTCGCACGAGTTGCAGGCAACCGCTAAGGCCCGAACTTGCAAAAAAGTGTAAACAGGCTATAAAAGAAGATCTTGAAAAGAGAAGAGCAGCAGTAATGGTCAAAGCTGCAGAGGTTGAGAAAACTATACGCAAAGCCCACCGAAGCTTCGCCAATTACAAAGCCAAAATGATTGCATTCCGGCGTCCAAACGGAACAGTTACAACGTCTAGAATAGTAATGGAGAAAATCATTCACGAATACTACTCGGATCCCTTCGATATCCACGTCCACCTTCCGTCATATGACATAAGGAGGATGAATATGTTATGCCACCTGTTCTCCTTTCCGAAATCCGACATGCCATTTCGTCGGTGAAAAATCGAACAACACCAAGTCCTGACAGGATAAGATTAGAACACTTGAAGAATGTTCCGCCAGTCTTCATAAACATACTGGCTTGGCTCTTCACACGTTACCTGTCTGAATGCAAGGTCCCTACTCAGTGGAAGACCAGCAGGACCGTGTCATTGTTCAAGAAGGGTGACCTGCACGACGTCTGCAACTATCGTCCAATCTGCTTACTGTCTGTCGTCTACAAACTTTTCACTTGAGTCATCATAAACAAGATTGACAGAACACTGTACGAAGAACAGCTATGTGAGCAAGTAGAATTTCGAAAAGGATTTAGTACGATGGACCACATCCACACGATAACAAGGCTCATTGAATTATCGCGAGAGTACAAAAGACCTCTCTGTCTCACTTTCATCGATTTACAGAAGGCCTTCCAACTGAGATAGAGCAGTCATGGAAGCACGTGGTAGTAAAGGAATCCCTGCTCAGTATATAAACAATCTTCGTGAGCCTTACAGAAATCTCACAACCAAGATAACACCATTCTACAACTATATTAACATTAACGTCAAAAGAGTTGGGCAAGGCGATACCATCTCGCCAAAATTATTTACTGCCACCCTCGAGGACGTCATTCAAACATTCGAGTGGGATAATATGGGAATGAAAATCGATGGTGGGCAGTTACACCATCTTCGCTTGGCTGATAACTTCGTCGTTATAACACCGAACACTAGCCAAGCGGATCGAATGCTTGCCGACTTTGATAAAGGCTGTAAAAGTTTGGTCTTCGACTAAATCTCACAAAAACGATGTTTTTGAAGAACGAATTGGTTTCGAATGCCCCATTCCTGCTCAACGGAGCGAGTATCTCCGAGTGCTCCAGTTATGTCTATCTAGGTCGAGAAATCAATGCGATGAATGACATAGTTCCAGAACTGAGCAGAGGGAAACGAGCGGTTTAGAGAGTTTTCAAGAGCATGGAGGAATTAGTGAGGAAAACAAAGAGCACCCGACACCGTGCCCAATTTTTCGACTCAACGGTACTTCCTGCCTTTACGCATGTGTCAGAAACCTGGTCTCTACCTAGGCAGGATAAAAGGTCGCTCAGCATTATCGAACGCGCAGTCAAAGGATGATGCAAAGAGTGTCCCGTTTCACACAAGTAAGGGATGAGATCCGAAGTTCCTACCTGCGTCAACGATCGAAAATCAAAGATGCCGTTCTCTACGCCATACAGTCGAAAATAAGGTGAGCTGAACACGTAATGCGTATGAATTGCAAAGAGCCGTTAGTGACTGGATTCCTCGGGATGTTAAACATACTGCATGAAGACCACCGGTCCGATGGTCAGAGTTTCTCACGAAGATCGTAAAAGAAGGATATGATGCTCGACGAGTCTCTAGAGCGAGCAGAACCCACTGGGCTACTATTCCACGCGACAGGGAAAAGCGGAAGATTTAGTGGCGCCCGCTCGAGTCATTCGACGATCAGGGTGATACAGGTGATATGGCGAAAATGCGGTAGCGAATAGTAGAGTAAAATAATAGAGCACGTTGAACAGAAATTTAGAATATGCCATATGTTGAACGATTTACAATAGTTTGTTGTGCGTTGGAGTTGACTTTTTACAAGAAACTAGACGGATGAGGTAAATTGGTCTGCCGATATTTCGTAGAAGTAACTTGATTGCTTTGAACGTACATGATGCGACTTGGATTGTGCAAATAGGCAGAAATGCGTGGGTGAGCACGAATATTGTGGTTAGAAGAATAGAGACAGCAGCAAGTGTTTTATAGTAATTCGTGATTATATCGGCTATGTGCCAGAAATCTAGCCATTGTAATTCGAAATCCGTGGTTGCTTGTCCTTACAGCCACGTGTCAAGTATACCATTAGCGACGCTCGTGAATTTTAGTAGGCCTCTTATTGCGAAAGGGTTAATTTTTAAGACTTCGGAGAGTTGGACTTCTCAAAATTAGCCTCTCTGTTCATGCCTTCAAAGTATGTTTATATGTGGAAATAGATTTACCTGTTGAAAACCGTTACATGTGAGCACAAGTGACGTTGCAGTCACTATTAATCTGCTGAGTTTGACGTTGTGATGCGTGGAGCGAGGTCTTCTGATTTTCCGATTCAAACTGGTGATTACCGATTGTTTTGCATACCAAGTGAAGCAAAGCATTTTTCGTATTGGTTTTCCGAGAGTGAGTGGTACGTAAAGTAGTACGTAGCAGCCGGTATTAATGCAATAAATGGCAATTGCTGATGCCAGTATTGCACTTGTTGGCCAGCATTCGGGATTGAAAATTAGCTCCACACACAGTGCACAGCTGAGGTGTTCGCAGAATGGTGACGGTGGACATGTTGTTTCAATATTATCGACTGATTGATTATCAGCAAGTTTCCATTGAATTTTGCGTTCATGAGGAATTATATGCGGTGGAAGACTGACTATCTTGTTGGATTCTGGTGTTTCCAGCGTTTCACAGTAACCGTCTGCACATACCTGGTAAGGGGTGTTGCCAGATAAAGTGAGTTGTATTCCTCCGTTGATGCACTTTATATGGCAAAAGTTGGTATGCCGGTACGAGTGTGCTGCTGAGCATTGTTCCAGAATAGCTAATAGGAATAGAATGCTAAGGATCAGTGAAACATTTAAAGTTGTTGCTAGTGAAGGGTTGACAAGTTTGTTATAATCAATTCGCTGCTGGCGTCGTAAGTTATATGTACCTGTCCGCTTTCTGGGAGTTGCTTCTGTTACTGCTTTTGTATTGTTTCCTTCCATTGGTAATTCGTGTTGCCTAGTTGGTTGTGGAGTAGTTGTCTCCAGTTGCTGGTCGTTTTGTGTTTGCTGCAATGGAGGTTCATCTAACTCCAATGGAGTTAAAAGATTGAGTGGCCGGCGAATCAGACGATGTGATGGTAGTAGAATAACGGCTTCCCGTGCGATACCTTGTGAATTCTTGACGAGTTCCTTAATTCTACCCATCTTCCACGAATATCGAGGTTGTGCCGGGTCGTTGATTAATACTAGATTGCCCTCTTTAGGCGTATATTTCGAGCTTCTTTGTGTGGAATTACTCTGATGCTTTTCCCGCAGTGATGTCAGGTAGTGAGATTTCCAAATTGTTCAAAATTTTTCCGTCAATCTGTAAGATGAATTTAAAACTTTGATGATTTGTTCTTTTGTTCGCAGTGCAACTTTCTCTTCTGATTGAAGATTGGAGAGGTCACATGTTTCGCTGGCAAACTCATCTAGTGCAGAAAAAATTTCGAAGTCTTTTTGAAGAAAGTCGATACGTCGAAGCATTTCTTCTCGTGCCGATTGTGATTCTACATATAACAGTGGCCTCATATTAAGGAGTGATTCGATTTTTATTAGTACCGTTGTAAACTGCTCCGTTGAGAGCTTTTCGGTTCCAAGAGTTTTGTACAGGGAGTGTTTTACTGATTTGATGAGTCGTTCGTAAAAGCCCCCTTGCCACGGGCCGAACGGAGTAATACATTTCCACTGCATTTCTTGGTTGGCAACTGTACGTTTTACTTCTGGACCATTTTGGATGGATTTGAAGCTTTAATTGAGAATGGTTTTCGTTAGTACAAATGTTGGAGCGTTGTCACTTGTAATTGATGCGGGAGTTCCTCGTCTGGCGAAGAATCGGCGTAGGAACATGAGGAATGAGGTAGTTGTGAGGTTGGAGATGATGTCAAGATGTATTAGTCCTGTCGCCATGCACGTTATTACCGCTCCATGACATTTACTTTCGGCAGAATCCGGTTTAACGATTGTTATTGGACTAAAACAGTCGAGGCCAATGTGCTTGAAAGGTCGTGATTTGTAAACTCTATGCTTAGGTAAGTCGCTTTTTTCTAGATATTTGTATGGTAGGTTGTTGAAGCGTTGACATGGTACGCATCTTCTGAGGATTCGTGTTACTTGTGCACGTAGTTTGGGTATCCAGAATTGTTCTCGTACGATTGACATTGTGTGGCTAACGCCTAGGTCTCCTTTTTTGTGACAATCCTCTATGATTGCTGTGTAAGCCAAGAATTCTGGAATACTAGCAAAGAGTTTTTAGCTTCTTTGTTTAAATCGCTATTTTGTGTTCATCTAAAACATCAGAGCAAACCTTCCTTGTCCGATTGACGTTGAGATGCCTCATAGACTGGAGCATGAACGTGGTTACTGTCGACAACTGATGTTGTCTGACCACTACTTTTCCAGCTATAGTAATCTCTTCACCGAAGGTTTTGGGATCCAGGTTGACCTCCGTGACACTTAGAAGTGTGGAAAGTTTGATACGATGTTGTCTACGAAGGCTCACCTTGGCAACTCAGATTTGAATGAAGCGTGTAATTATTGCAACAATTCCTTTAACATTTGAAGATATCGTTTCCGTTCTCTTTGTCTGAGCAATTGTGTTTTACGAAAAACAGTTGCTGTTCTTCGTGGGGAAATTTGGAATATCGTGCGTATTGGATTGCCGTGAAGTTCTGGACACTTTCCTAAAGAGCCTTCGTTATGCTTGAAAGTGTTGCAAATAATTTCCCCATTGTCTGGAAATTCTTGGAGGAATGGTGGTCCGAGCCACCAGAAGTGGTCGAGCAATTCCTTCTGGCTAAGACCAAGGGTTGCACAGTCCGCTGCGTTATAACGTGATGGGACGTGACCAAAAAGTATGCGATAACCATTCCTTTGCATTTCGTCGACGAGCCTTTCGATTTCCAGCAGTCTGGTGAGTACTCTGAGTCCAACGTTCTTTAGTTGTTTGCGCTTTATCCAGCTAAGTACGATCTCCGAGTCAGAGAGGATGGAAATCTCTTAAATTTCCAAGGTCCATTGAAGTTGAGTCAGTACGGCGTTGGTTAATCGTAGAGCTAAAGTTACCGCATCTAGCTCCATTCTTCGTACGGTTGATGCAGATTTTAGTAAAGACAGTTTGCTTTTTGCCATGAGGAGATTGGTTGCATTTTTGCACCGTAGATAAATGCAGGTGGTCAGGGCTTCAACGCTAGCATCGGCGAAGGTTACTAGAATGTATTTTGCATTTTTTGTTCCAAGACAACGTGGTAGAGGTTTCGTGAAACCTTGTTTTTTTGTGCATATGGTTATCCATTCGTCTTTACAGGAGTCTGGCAGGATATGATCCCAATTATACTTGTCTTTCCACGGGCTGCGTAAGAATACCTTTGCTTTATGAAGTAAAGGTTTTAGAAAGCTCATGGGCTCGTACACCGACGCTAGTGTGCTAGCCATCGTTCGCTTGGTGATACGTTGATTTGTTCTTGTCATGCATGTTATCTGTAGACAATCGACCTTGATGTTCCATGGTATTCCCAACACTTTCGGTAATTTGCTGTCTGCTTTATCAACAGAGGGTATTCTTTCCATCAGGTCAATATTATTGGAAGCAAATTCGCGAAGATTCATGTTGAAGTCATTGAATATTTGTTTTATGCGTAAGTAGCTCTGAAATGCTTCTTCAAGTTCATCAACGGTTACAACAAGGTTGTCTGCGTATAAGTTGTCTTTATGTTGCGATATTAATTCTGCCTCTTCTTTGTATGGACCAAGATGAAAACGTACCGTTCCGGCCAAAAAAAATGGTGGTTTGTTTAGCCCGAAAATCACTCTGGCGAATCGTAGGGTTTTAATGTTGTTCGGAAATGGTGGTGACTTGTGATCATATAGCCAAAGGCATCGTGTGGCATCGCGATAGACCTCATAGAGTCGGACTTGCAGAAAGGCCTTTTCAACGTCTGATGCAATCGCGATTCGTTCAATTCTAAAGCGAAGGAAAATTCCGAGCAATTGTGAGGGGATCATTGGTTCTCTGCGTAAGACGTCGTTGAGTGATGGGCATCCCTGGTAGTGAGCTAATGCGTCATAAATTATTCTGATCTTAGTAGCGTTTTTATTGAGAGCTAAGATTGCTTAGTGAGGAATGTAATAAACTTGGAAGCTTTGTGGGGTTTCCTGTTCGTCGATTTCCTCTAGGATGTGCAGGCAAAGTTGTTTTTCGAATATGCCATTGTACCTAGTGAGCAAATCACCTTTAAGCTACTCTTCATATCAAATGAAGTATGTTACGCCATTAAGAGATGCTTAAGAAAAAGTGGTCTTGAAAATTATGTAGCGATTATTGGCATCCCACCCAATACTCTACGCCGTCAGTAAGTTCGAAACCGCCTCTTTGATCGTTTGTGCAGCTCAGAAAACTCAGAGTACGATCTGTCCTAACGGGATAGACGGGGATTGCATGTGTTCAGGTATAATATACTTGATCTCATGTAACGCATGCGGTGAGGAATATATTGGGGAAACGGATAAACTACTTTGTGTCCGCGTAAAAGAACATCTGGATGGGAAAGTTAAAATCCGTCAAAACACTCCTTTAGGTACGCATAAGGCACAAAAGCACAACGGCGATGATTTTGAAGTGAATGTGCGGATCCTGGCGCAGGAATCAAAAACATCAACGCGCAAAACTCTTGAGGTAAATTTCAAAAATCGAAAGATGGACTAGAAAGACGAATGCCTCACTATCACACGTGACCTGGCTCCCTACTTCAAGATAATATTTTGACTCCGGGGTTAGCCTCGCTCGCGACCCCACGTGAACTACGTGTGGGCCAGTCCCACACGAAACAACACGATAAGTGGCCTTCCTGTTCAATATGGCGTCTATTTAAAAGTTTGATCTTTATTAGTACTTTAACCTTTGTTTTCACCGAATAATAAAAATATTCTAATATAAAATACATCCAAGCTCTGAGGAAGGCGAAATCGCCTAAACGTCTGCCATCGACCAACAACATCAACAACAACGACAACGACAACGACAATGAAGATCTGCACCAATCTCGCATCAGCTTAAGAAGATCAGTTTATAAGATCATATGAATAAATATATCAAGTATCAAGTAAGAATTTTGACAACAGAGGCAACGCTACAACCGCAATGATGCTGAGATATTTGCAAAACTCCGGACCCCAAGTATCCGAGGTAGGGATCGAACACGCTACTGCCTTTTCCGTGGAGTAACGCGTTCACTACAGCACCGTGCCGGTGTTTCGGCTGTCTGTCAGCTAGTTTTTTATCGATCAGTGCCATCAGCAATCAATTCAGTAAAAGCGCGTTCGCTCACCAGCGCAGACATCTGCGGTCCGGAGTTTTGCAAATATCTCAGCATCATTGGGCTTGTATCACACATGTTATAAATCCTGCCATGAGAAATTATACATGCAGTAAATGAAAAGTTGAAATAGGCAACGCTTTTCAACGAATGGTGTAAAAGTATAAAGGCACGAAGTTGTGAAGCTATGATTGCATGAGAGTATGAATAGACCACCAGTGGCAGTTGCTCAATTTGGGTGACTTGTTCGTAGACGATAGGAGATAATATGGCAGCAGAGAACGTAAGTTCTAAGAAGATCAGCAGAGAAGAGATGGGCTAAAACCATTTGCTGCGAAGAATAAGGGAACATGTGGGATTTCATTACTGATGTAATTACAATGGTGCATATTTGATTTTGCTGCGGGTATTTATCTCCTTGCAGAAAACAGAAAGTGTGAAATAAAGAACGAACGAGTAATAAAACTGTAACCACACCTTGTTAAGTTGTCCACGTTTAAGAAGAGTTAGTCAGGTTCTAGTGCACCCAATAAATGAGGAGTCATATTCCACTAAAAAGAGAAAATGAGAAGCGTAACCCATTTTCTTCTTGTTTCTTTATTTAATACACGAATATGTACAAGTCGTTCCTCTGTTGCTCAACGGATTCATAACAATTCTGTGCCTGAAGCTGTCCACGTTGATCCATACAAATCGATTACTATTAAGCTCGCAGCGACCTTATCCCTACTTTGCTGAAAAGTTCCTCAATTAAATGACAATTTCTGAGATCATGACGAAGGCCAAAGCAGAATGAACATTAAGGACGAATCGTCATAAGTAAGCCTTGTAGAAAAGAAATGCTTTTTTGAGATGGCACTGCTTTGGCTGCTTTTCTGGCTGAATAGAATACGTGGAAAGCTGAGAAGAAGCGATGTCTTTCTTGCATAATATAGATTGACAAAAAAGATCACTTGTAAAACATCACCCTTTTAAGCATAATATTTATGGGAATCAAGCCAAATTTCTTCACTTGAATAACGACTGACGGTATGATTTACTTTGCCTGATTCCTCCCAGGACGATATGAAACCATCAATGTGGGAGAAGACGGATTCCAAACTAACCTAATAAGCTTTTTATATCCCGTCTTGAAGGGATTTCATTTTTGGCGAGATAGCATCCGGCTATCTTAACAGAGTACGCTTTGATGGAGTCTAATCATTGGTGTGCTGTACGCGAAGCAAAATCTCCGAGTATAAATTGAGCAGCTTTCGTGGTTAGTTAAGCACTGGATGCGCATCTTACGGATTTTCCCTGCATAATCATGCTGTGAGGCGCGTGTGACGCAGTGGTTGAAGGCCTCATTGCGTTGCGCACGTGGAATCAATTCCCGCGCCCATGGCCCACCAAGCCTTCCATCCCTCCAGGGTCGGCAGATTGGTACCAGACTTGTCTTGGAGGATAGCAGCACTGGCTTGATACAACGGTGGGCCACCACGAGTCATTGTAAAGGCCAGATATGCATTCATTCACCTCCAACGTTACTTAATGAGGTCGAATGCATGGCGCATCCCTCAGTGATTGATCGAAGTCGAGAGCTTTATCCTTGACTGTCCTTTGATCGTGTTGTGTATATAAATAGTTGAATCTAAAACGGCCTTCACAAGTTGTGCATTTAGATCCAAGTCAATTGAGGAAACCACGTCGAATGGCGCCCGAATACGGTATTTCGTCTCGGCAGCTGATTTGTCGAAATCGATGTAGAAAATCACCAAAAAGGCTTTGCTACCAATCCGTAAAGCAGTGGTCATTCCGTAGGCACAGATTTTTCGTAATTGGACCTGACAACTTAGCATGTTGAATGGAGCATTTGGTCAATCGGAAATAAGCAAATTGTGCCTGAAATCACAGTGTTAACTTTTTTATTTACGGCTTACTACAATTTCAATGGCAGAGCATTCTGTGAAATACAATCACAACGATGCTGAGATATTTACTTAGAAACCAGCCGAGAGAAAAGCGAGACCGCACAGTGTGGTGGTGAACACATTAGCCTCCAGAAAGAGCAGTAACGTGTTCCATTTCCACCGCAAACACCTGCCGTGCGGAGTTTTGCAAATATCTCGGCATCATTGTGGCTGTGTTTGAAATGTTGTTCCACTAACTTCTCCAAAGGTATTGACTCTTCGTCGTTGCTAAGCATGTTTGTTTCTAAATGTGGAGTTGCAATCTGCAACAGGATGTGAAGTAAGCAGTTTCTCCAAAAACACCAAACTTCCCATCTTCCCTACTTTTGCCGAGGAGCGTAGCTCACTGAGTGGCTCAAGAGCGTAATGAAATGCGATGGAGTTTTTACTGATGTCAGTTAGAGTTGTTCAGTGATTAATAAGACTGCAGGTGACCGATAATTTCGTTATCTGAAAAGAGTTGGAGGAATCAGCAGAGAGGTATCAGCGAATTTTAATGGCAATTAATGTCTTGAATATTTTGTAGGATGTTAGCTATTTAGCGAAACAAAAGGTGTTGCTTGAATCGTTGACATTTATATAAATACATCTTTCGTTGTAACATTAAAAGTTCTGAAGGGAAACGGTCTTGGCAGCATCTTGAAGAATAAATGTTGACTAACCTGAATAATTTATCGCTTGAGCCTGGTGACCTAGATGTCAAAAACAACAATTTCCATGAGGAATGTCGACTGAAGAAATTTTGCTTCATAAATCACTATTACCGCTGAAAAAATCAACCTACAATGAAGACAGTTCATTAACATCTGGGAATCTCTGTGGTAAGCATAGAAAATTTCAATGACCGATAGATGATATTGTCAAACAGATAAACTCTTGTTAACCTTTCATTTTCTGTCTTCTATAATTCTTCACGGTAGAATATGATGTGAAATACAACCACGACGATGCTGAAATATTCGCAAAACTTGGACCCCCAGTCAAATCGAACCAGGATTTCACTTTCTAGGGGCTCACGTATTACGCACTGCTCCACGGAAGTGAACTATTTCTGGCATACCGTATCACTTGATGCACTGCTCTGCATGTACCGTGCCATACCCTGAATCAGCACTATCTATGGCCCCCTCTGTAAAACTCCACCCATTACAAACGGAATATAAGGAGCACCAGCAGTTATAGAGACTAGTGTCTGTCTTCCAACCTACCAGTGTCTGGGTTCCAACCCCTAATGCTTATCTTCCAGTCCCTCAATTCCTCAGTGCACCAACTCCAGTGTCCGCCTAGCTTCCTTCAACTGTATCACTTGTTCTCATTTCAATCCCGCTCGTATCCACCCTGCTTACATATCGTCAAATATCACACATTATTATTGTATTGTTGTTGTTGTTGTTATAAACTGTTATAGCCCAAATTCGAGGTTGTTAAAGGCAGTTACGGAAAAAAATCCCGTTTGGCGAATTCGTGTAAAGCCGAGCATTCCAAGTATAGTTGGCGGTTAAAAGACAAATCCGACCAACTCCCTAATCCACTGGCCAACTAGCATCCAGAGTTTGGAATTTGGTAGAAGACTTGTTTGCAAAGCTCCCTATTGTTCGAAAACGCAGGCGAATGCTACGATGAATGCTGGGAACGACTTTCATGGATGATGGATGCAAGTAAGCAAAACGAATAAAGGAACTACCAGCTACTGAGCAGCATGTGATCTTTCTGAGAATATTTTTTTCGCATAAAACTTATC